GGTATACTGTGGGTGCCTCTGTGTGCACACTCCCCTTCCCTGAAGATAAACACATATACACACACTCAGGAGAAGGGTGGTGAACACCAGGGTCACTTCTTCTTTTTCTGGGGAAGATCCACATAGCTCCTGGCCTGGATGGGCTGATCTTCAACCCGGGTTTCTCAGTGAGGAAAGGATCCCACGAGAGCCAGTCCTGGAGATCATGAAGTGATGAAAAAGTAACTGTTGGTCACTGGCATACAAAATGCTTCCCACATTCCCCCAGATTATTTTTTCTAATGGTATAAGGGTCAGCAGAGAGTCCGCCCACAGCATTTGTGTTAATGTTTTAATAAACTTTTGAGAATCACATCTGATAGTTAAYGCAAAAGAATGATTTGTCTTTGGGTTAGAATTGCTGAACAGTATTTTCTTTCTCTGGCCAACATAGTTTCCTGAATGTACTTGCTTCAGTTCATATTGAAATCAGTGTGTGCCACGTTAAGTTGGTGGCTGAAGCACAAGATGTGGAGGAAACTACCCAGGTACCTGCTGCCTGTCCTCACTAATAGAGCCAGGGTCTCCAGCTGAGGCTGAGGGCTAGAGGCTATGGCCTCCAGAGGATATCAGGCATATTTGGTTTATCCTTACTTTGTTTCTTCTGGTAGAAAAGGGACATCAGCAATTTTGAGTACCTCATGTACCTCAACACCCTGGCTGGGAGGACCTACAATGACTACATGCAGTATCCAGTATTTCCCTGGGTCCTTGCTGACTACACCTCAGAGGTAAGGCATTCTCATGGATGCTACACAGGTGTTCTGAGGTTTCCTTACTCCAATAGCCAGAGTCAGCACACAGAACCTCCACTGGGAGGTTCAGTTACCTGAACTTGGGTATTTGGGCCTAAAGCCTAAATGCTCCTGACACTATGATAGCCTTTGGGCTTTAGCTGGGTTTCTGTCCCAGATTCATTTGTGGAATGATCATTGCCTAACATGAGCCACAGAGGGCCCCTGGCTTATACTCATGGAATAACGTAAATGCTGCCCATTTACTGAAATACCATCATGTACCAACACTGGCGGCATGCTACAGTTACAGGTGAGATGGTCCATGGAATTTGTTTCCCAAACCAACATATGGGGGAGAGGGGTAGAGACAAAGACAAGGACCCACTCTGCCCATAACTTGACTTCTATAATTGAGATGATGACATCTGGGATTCACTCAGGACCTGGGATCTGGACTCAGATATGTAGTCCTAGGGGAGGCTGATGTCAACACTGGCCACTTATCAATTTGGCCTCCATCTCTGGACCTCAGCAGGCAGAGAAGGGGGAGGAGAAAACTGCATAGCTGGACCAAAGTGATAGATATTTCTGTGCAAGGGCAGCCAGGCCATGGAACAGGGTCCTGACCACCCAGGCTCTGGTCATGGGAGCACCAGGTGTTGGGCTTTGTGTGATGGACAGGAAATGGTGGGCCATTGGTTTAGACCAGCCTGGCCAGTCCTGTCTGGGATTGCTTGATGGTTTAGACCAGCCTGGCCAGTCCTGTCTGGGATTGCTTGATGGTTTAGACCAGCCTGGTCAGTCCTGCCTGGGATGCTTGAATGGCAGAGCTCAGGATTTGAGAGAGGGAGACTCAGTCTTCTGTGAGGTCTCATTCCCACTTAAGACATTGAATGCTGCAAAGATATTCTCACAAAACGCGAATTACTTTTTATCCTACTGATGGACCATCAGAGGCCAAGATCTTTCAAATAGGAAACTTAGAAACCCCAACTTTAATGTACCCATTGCAAGTTGGTGGTTATTTTATAAATCTTTTCTGTTTAACCCATATCCTATATTTAAAAATTTGATGACTTACCAGTGTCTAAAAATTGAGAAATTTGTTCTAAAAATCTGAGTTTCCAGTATGTTTCAAAAAATCAGGAGATCTGGCCACTTTGATCAATTCTGACCAGCAAAATCAACTGGAGCTGGGCTTGGGTTTCCACATGACTCCTCCATCACTCACTGGGGTTGATGCTGCTTCCCTCTCCCACCCTGGCCTGTCTTTCACAGACATTTGAGATGGTGACATCCCTAATCCTGGTAGAGCTACAGTSACTCACTGCTAGTGAGAAGAGAGGGTTATAAAGAAACAAGTCCTCCTGAAAAGAAACACAAACTCCCGGAAGAGTCAGCATTCTATTAACACAGAGAACATTTCTGCTAAAAGGAAATGTCTCTTAGGACACCTGGCCCTGAAACTGCTCATGGGCAGAGGCAAGCATTACCTGTTTTTGTTGCCCAGAGGGAGTGGGCCTTAGAAAAATGAAAGTGTTCCTCTCATTTCCTCCCCCCAAACAGATGGCTTCTAGCTTCCTATGAAATCAGTTTGATTCTAAGCAGGGACCCTGAACTACTTGAGTAAATTACTCCATGAGGGCAGAAGCCAAATGGCTTATAGACAATAGGAATTCTTTTTGAAAGTCTCTTTTTGGTAATAGGTGGTCATGTTCTGATTTGGGTCAACTTGGAACAGGTTCAGTATGAACTCAATCTTCCCCTCCTCTTATTTCTCATCTCTCCCCTATTAAGTCTTTGTGGATCACTGGCTTCAGGGCTATAAAACCCTAGTTTGCCAGCTAATCACCAGAGGAGGGTCAGACCAGATGACAATAAACCAATAAAGGGAACCATAAAACTAAAGAGCGTGGCTCTTGGGGCACAAGAGGGTTGGGGGAGTTAACTCCAACTGTACATCTGCCTTCTAGGTGTTGAACTTGACAAATCCCAAGACTTTCCGGGATCTTTCAAAACCCATGGGGGCTCAGACCAAGGAAAGAAAGCTGAAATTTATCCAGAGGTTTAAAGAAGTTGAAAAGACTGAAGGTGGGTAAATTCCAGCTTGATTTTTTTGTGCAATTTTGTTTATTTGAATGCCTTGAAATGATGATGACTAGTGTGATTGCCTAGCTTGCAAATTATTGCATTTGAATAGAGAACTCTCTAATCCAGTGGTTAGCACCTTGGCTACATGGAAGAATCACCTGGAAGAGCTTTTAAAAAAAGTCTTCCAGGTGCGGTRGTGCATGCCTGTAATCCCAGCAACTTGGGAGGCTGAAGAAGAGGCCAGCCTCAGCAACTTAGTGAGACCCTGTGCCAAAAGAAAAAATAAAAAGGGCTGAGGATGCAACTCCATGGTAGAGCAGCCCTGGGTTCAATTGACACAATTAACACACACACACACACACACGCACACACACACACACACACACAATACTGAAGTCCAGATCTCACCTCTAAAAATTCTCATTTAAATAATTTTTGTGGTGTCACACAGCCTGGGTGATTCTAATGTACATGCCAAATGGAGCAATATCATGCTAACAGCTAGTAATTCCATACCCAAGAGCAGGCAAAGGTGGAAGAACTCATATCCATTCAGCCCTTTCTCTATGTGAGGTTCATGCCAATGTATGTTCATGTACACAGTGGTCCATTCCAAAGAGTGGTGAGCTAAACTCAGAGAGTTTAAAACAACAGCCTCAAAATTGCTCTTGAACACAGTTCCCAAACTTTGTCCATTTGTACATCACCTTTATAATTTTTGCCACATTTCTAAGTCAACCGGATTTTTATTGCCTGATGTTTTTATTTAAATCTACTCATTTCCTAAACTTAAGGAATGTATTTTTTAAAAATTCTGTTCTCAAGCACAGAGTAGCCTGCGTGTCTGCTACCTGAACCAACACAAGTAGGGAAGCAGCATTCAGGCATGTCCTTTTATTGCAGGAGACATGACCGTCCAGTGCCACTACTGCACTCACTACTCCTCAGCCATCATCGTCGCTTCCTACCTGGTCCGGATGCCACCCTTCACCCAGGCTTTCTGCTCTCTGCAGGTGAGCTTCTGTCCACTYGCCCTACGCATACATGTGTGCATGTATGCATGCATGCACACATGTGTGCACGTGTGTGCGTGCACACACACACACAGAGCTGTATTATAGGCTTGGACAAGACGGGAACTCCTCTGCTAAAAATTCAGTCTTTAGCCAGTGATTCCCACTTGACATTGGCTCCTGGATTCTGGTCCCTCCAGCCAAGGCAAGCTGTTCTTCATCAGTGATACTTGCACATCTGACCCAACAGAGTCTTGAAAAAAAAAGAAAAGCTAAAAAAATCAAGAAATAAAAGATATAAAAAAAAACCCTTAACATAAATAAGATGTACTAGAAAAGGAAAGCAGGAAGCTTGGAGACGAGAAAAGCAAGCAATCAAAGATTAGAAAAATAAACACAAGAAAGAACAATGAAAAGAATATGACTCAAGTGCTCAGAATGCATAAATCTGTGCTAAGTACAAGCTGAAATGTTCCAAAGAACAAACAAAATGTTTGAAAATCAAAACCACCAACTAACCCAGAGAAGGAAACTAACCAACTTACCCACCCATAAACTAACAAACCACAGTGCCAGCTTCAAGTTGCCAGGTATCGCAAATAAAAACACAGGATGTCTTGTTAAATTTGGATTTCACAGAGACTGCTTTTTAGATGAACAGTGATTTATATTAAAAAATTATCTGTTGTTTATCTGGAATTTAAATTTAACTGGGCCTCCTGTGTTTTACCTAGTAACTTAAGGAAGCTGGAGGTAAGCCAGTCTGACTACCAAGTGGGTAGTAGTGTCCAAGACCTATGGGATTTCTAAGGGAGAGTCCCTTATGGGACTTGTGAGGGTGCCAATAAGCATGTCTCCTCTCTTCCCTTCGCCTCTCTGTCACTGGGATTCTGCATGCTAGGAAGCTGTTACCCCGGAGGCACAGCTTGTGAATGTGGGAAACACTCAGCCTGGCTGCAGCAGGAGTACAACACAGGGGCAAGTTTATGGTTGACCTGATCTGGGGCTCACCAAGGACCCATGGAGAGGAAGGCATGAGCCACATGGGCAGCAGGCCTCTGTTCATACACTGATGACTGACACCTAAGCCATATTTCAGAGAAGCATGAGTGCCCCAGGAACTTCGAGTTTAGGTCTACAAATTCTGATTTAGRTCTGACCTCACCAGCAAGATCACTCATTGTAGTCACTCAGAGGACATTGACTCTGAGAGGTAATAGGCCACCCTGGGTCAGCACTAAAGGTAGCTCCTATACTCTGGGAAGGAATGAGTAGGGCAAGGTCAAGGCGTTTTCTCCAACAAAGAGCAAAACCCTGCTGTCTTCTGTTTCTTGGCACAGGCTTCTTTGACATCGTAGCTCGTCTAGACATTGTATAACCCCCTTTCCCTGGAAATTCGCTCAAAAATAATAAGTGTGCTTCCCCTGAGCCTTTCTCAGGCAACAAGCATTTTAAGTAAGTTTGGTTTGGAGAATGAATGGTCCCAGAGCTGTACCCCATGCCAGGAATCCCATCCAGATGTTGCTCATTAATCCTCAAGAAATGATGATCACTGTTGACGATGATAGTGATGGATTCCGTTACTGCTTTCCATCCAGGGATTTTAAATGTTTCAGTGTGCTGAATGCTTTCAAAGTTTCCCCATGCCCTTTTGGTTGGATGCATCAAAGCCGGAAGTCCCAGCTCTACCTGTTGCTAAGGGTCTTTTCACAAAGGGAGGAGATGGAGTGAAATTGAGACAGTTTTGGATGTGAGATTTATATCCCAGCTCTGCCACTTAATAGATACAAAACCTTCTGCAAGTATTTTACGTCTGGAAATGAGGGTTAATTATGCACATCTCACTGGGCTGTTGAGAAGATTAAATGAGAAATTGTGGGGAAAGCCCCTAGCTCAGGTGATCAATCACTGTGAGTTCCCTTCTTCCCTCTGCAATCAGCCAGATCTAATCTGAGTAGGCCTGAACTTTTTCAAGCTGGTCTCCTCTGGTTTAAGCTAATTTAAGGTAGTCTGGACTTCATCGAAGTATTTCAGTGTAGCAAGAGCCAGACTGAACAGGTGCTGTGAACCCAGGAGGACATTTGGGTAATGGCCACTTTCAAGCTAATCACTATTGTGAGCTTATTTTAGTTAGTTTAATCCATTGGTGATGAGGCCAAACTAGTTTGAGAGGATCTAAATCAGTGTGAGATGGTCAGAGCCAACTTCATAAGCTTTTAGATGGTACCAGTGCAGTGGTGTTAGTGTGAGCCCTTTGGAACCCTGTGTTGAAGTCTGATATGACTTGAGGTACTTTTTTGGCTCAAGCCTGTCTTTGGCCAACTAGCCCATCCAAGTTGAGATCATCTGGGCTCTCCAGGTGTGCCTCTGGATCTATCTCACCTTCCTATCTTTGAAGGACTCTTTTAGTGGGTCATAACTGCTCTAAGCCTTTGGAACCAAAAGAAGAACCAGGCATCTTCTGCTTTATTCCTTAGAACAAATGACGAGTTTTAGCTCTTTTTAAAGGAATAGGTACACAGATATGGAAATGTACCCAAATTTCCTTTGGGAGTCCTGGGTATCAGTGGACCTCTTTAGGAATGTTCTAGCATTATTCTGAAGTCAGGCTCTTCCCTCCGGCCCACTCACCTCCTAGGGGGACAGGCCTGTTTCTTCTCAAAACACCTTTGCTTTGCCCCCATGCAGTGACAGGAAAGGGCTTCCCACAGGCTCAGTAGCCTCAAGAGCTGACTGTCAACCTGTGTGTAACATGGACTGTGCAGTGAGGAAGCATGAGAAGGCGGGGAGGCTTTCTGCAGCTACTAGAGACCAGAGCTGTTGTACATATGAGTGTCAGCATCAGACAGTGCACCCTTTACCATCCTGCACTAAGCAAATTCTGCCTCTCACCTGCTAGTATGAATCAGCCAGAGTTGAGACATGTGCACTACTGGCTGGGGCTCTGGGCCCAGGGGACTCAGGACCTGCTGAGCTCTGCTTTGCTGTTTGACTTCGAGCAGAGGTCTTTCTCTGGGACTGGTTTCCTTATTTGCAAATAAAGGAAGTGGATGAGATGCTGCCTCAGAATGCCCTTTCTCAATAGTATGAGCTGTTAAGAAAGTACTTCCTTAAGTACTTCCTGTGTTCCTGGATGGTGCCAAGTACTCTACATGTACTTTTACGTTGTTTCCTTACTTTCTTTTTGTGGTTAAATATAGAACATAACATGTACCCTTACATTTTCAAATGTGGAACTCAGTGGTGCATCACCAACTCTCACCACAATCCATATCCAGAACTTTTGAATCTGATTGAGCTAAAACTATACCCATTAAACACTAACTCTCCAAACATCCCTCTCCTGGCAAYCCTTACTCTACTTTCTGTCTATGAATTTGACTATTCTGTCATATAAGTGAAATCATWCAGTATTTATTCTTTTGTGACTTGGCTTCTTGTGCTTAGCAAATGTCCTCAAGATGGATCCATGTCGCAGCATGTTCCAGAATCCTCTAAGCCTGGATAACATTCCATCATGTATATCTACCACACTTGGTGTATCCGTTTATCTGTCAGTGGACATTTGGGTGGCTTCTCCCTTTTGACTATCATGAAGAATGCCATCAGGAACATTGTTGTGCCTTCCAYGTATCATTATCTCAGGGGACCCACAAGAGGCTGGGAGACAGCATTATGATGAGTCTTGATTTCCTCAGTCTCTGGGAGATTGTGTTGCTGACTGAGTTTCCTCAGGGAATGGCAATGCAGATGTGATAAATTCCAGCCCTGGGGACACTGAGCCTCAAGCAATCATTGTGAAAGCAAAATGGGTTCTAGAGAGGTTTCCCAGGGGAGATGTGTTCAGGAGGAAGAGACACACCATTTCCAAGGTCATGTTTAACAGGGCAGAGTCCCTCAGGTGATGTCACACRCAGATACACACAGTGTGACATGCAGGCAATCATCTGGCATGCAGTGTGCCAGCTGCATGTGTGACACCCCTCTACCCCATGTACCCAATGCAGACTGACATGCAGCATGATGGCTCCAGCCCACTTTTGCTGTTATGTGTTGTACACCCAATGTGGCCTCTGGGCTCCTGACAGGCACAGAGTTCCTTGAGCACTCTGCCAGTTTGCAACATGCTGTGCAGAAAGCCATGGACAGCTCCTACACACAGCCCAAGAATGCAGTGCAGTCTATTGGTTCCTGAATGTAAGGGGTATCTTATTCCCCTTACCTTCAAATCCMATTAAGTTTGGGTTCATCTTAGAATAAATTCATATTCTCTGTTGTTTGTTTTTATGCCCCAAACTTATCATTTCCATGATAGAGTCTTATAATCCAGAAAATATGATGCAATCACTCCAACTTATCCATGAGGGATTGGTTCCAGGATCCCCACAGATACCAAAATCCATGGTTGCTGAAGTCCCTTCTCTAAAATGCATAGCATTTGCATAGAACCTATGCATATTCTCTCATAGAATTTAAATCATCTCTAGATTACTTATGGTACCTAATGCAATGTAAGTGGTATAGAAGTAGTTGTTTAACTGCACTGTTCAGGGAATAAGGACTAGAAAAATAGTCTGTATATGTCCAGGACAGATGCAATTTTATTTAAAAAAAAATTTGATCCATCATTGGTTGAAACTATGAATGGAACTCATGGATATAGAAGGCAAAAAGAATATACATTCATACATATGCTTACAAAGCTTTATATGTTAGCATATGTATACGTTTTATATATATGTATATACACTTTGTGATTTGCAYGGGTGGCATATGCAGGCAGTCAGCTGTGTGCTCTGTTGTCCCCACTGCCTGGAGGTATGAGCTGCTATCTGCCAGGCCTGGGGGCTGATACCCCTAATAGCAGCCCCAGTATGCTGTAGTTCTCATGAGTCTTAACTGCCTAGAGCTAGAGACTGTGAGCCTCTAGAAAGTTAAGTCACCAGGAGACCCTGTCCCTGCTGGGGACCCAGCCATGACACCTGTTTCTCCCCCATTAA